CGCGCCCCCCCCGACCGGAGCAGCCCCAACGCTGCGGAGATCGACGGCAGTTCGGACAGCGCCCGCGCGTTGCCACACAGGGTGGCCAGGCTGCTTCGAGCAGGGCCGGCCTCTGCCGCTGCAGAGGCTGCGTTGTTTCCACACCGCGGGGGGGGAGGGGGGGGGGACAGTGGCGTGGATGAGCCGGGAGGGTGCATGCGCCCGACCTACCTGGGCCGCGGGGCCCAGGATTGGCCTGGCCAGGACCCAGGATGGACGTCTTGGGAGCCTTGCTCTTGCGATCTCCAGGGGCCTCCATCAATGGACAGCTTCGGCCAATCGAGTGGCATGTGTGCGCTCCAGGCGTTTTCCCTGCGAGTGTTCAGTCACAGCTATTCCTTGCAGAAGCCAGTAGTGCCCTTGCCGACCATCCCGCGCGTCCTTGGCTGTACTGCTTGCCAGGGGCTCTCGGGGGCCTCCCAGGACTTCTGGGGACTTCCAGGGAGCCAGGCGGGCCAGTATCGGTGCAGATATGTGGCGTGGCGCCTCCCGAGAGGAGACGGCGCTGGTGGACGCTCAGGGCGACGTCCAGGACGCCAGCAGGAGGACCCGCGAGGAGGAAAGTGCCCACCGCTACCACCCTCGGACCTCGGCTCCAGGCCGGCTCAGCGGGGCCAGGGGGAACCATCCGGTCGGAGACTCTCGCCGCCGCGGCGAGGCGGCGCGGTCTGGAGATCCGCCGATGCCACGGCGGTGCGGCGCGAGCCTCCGACCCCATCCGTTCCTGCCACATTAGGGCGGCTTTATCCAGGAGGAAAAGAAGCACACAGACACAATTACTCCTCGATTCCCCAGAAAATATGGGAAAATATGGGAAGTGGGGGGGAAGACAGAAACCCAGAAAATATGGGAAAATATGGGGAATCTTTTTATTTGTGTGTATTTATTTGTGTGTCCTGGGGCCCCTTCATTTATCCACGGACCCAGGTTGGGCCCAGACCTTCGTGGAGAGGCGCCTCCTGGCCCCGGCTGGCCGGCTCGGCGTCGTCACCCGTCACGCGGCGCTTGTCCTCCGTCGTCGTCGTTGTCGTCGTCGTCGTCGTCGTCGTCGTCGTCGTCGTCGTCGTCGTCCTCGTCCTCGTCCTCGTCGTCGTCGTCCTCGTCGTCGTCGTCGTCGTCCGTCGTCGTCGTATGTCGTCGTCGTCTGTCGTCGTCTGCCGTCGTCGTCGTCGTCGTTGGCGTCGGCGTCGGCGTCGTCGTCGTCATCGTCGTCGTCGTCCGTCGTCGTCTGTCGTCGTCGTCCGTCGTCTTCGTCGTCGTCGTCGTTGGCCTCGTCGTCGTCGTCGGTGATCGTCTTCGTCGTCGTCGCCGCCACCGTCGTCGCCGGCGGCGCCGCCTGCCCCTCCCCGAAGGATGCTGGCCAAGAAGAGGGAGTCCTCCGCGAGGAGCCCGCTGCGCTCGCGCGCGAGCGAGCGGGCGGGAAGAGCGGGGCGGGGCCCCCCCCCCCCCACGAGGGGCGGCCGCATGAAGGGGGCTCTGGGCCTCGAGGGGCCGAGACAGGCCCCACGGGCTTGGAAAGCCCGCCCCTTGCACGGGTCCTCGTCGTCGTCCTCCTCCTCCTCCTCCTCCTCGGTCTCGGTCTTCTCCTCCTCCTCCTCCTTTTCCTCCTCCTCCTCCTCCTCCTCCTCCTCCTTCTCCTCTTGGGCAAGCTGCGGGCGCTACTGCGGAGGGGAATCCCTCCTCCTCCTCCTCCTCCTCCTCCTCCTCCTCCTCCTCCTCCTCCTCCTCCTATTCCTCGTCCTCCTCCTCCTCCTTCAATGAATCCTTCCTGTCGCACCCCGAGGCCAGTCAGACGGGCTGGCCAGGCGTATCGCCTGATACTTCCTTGCCACTCATGATCTTGAAGCTCAGCAAATGCAACAGCTTCGCAGATGGAGGGCGGGCGGTTTTCACCATGTGGCTCTCGCCTTGGCGCCGCTCACGTTCGCAGCAAAAGATTGCAAGAGCTTCGCGGATTGAGGGCGGGCCGTTCTCAAATTGTGGCTCTCTCTTGAGCGCCGCGCACATTCGTCTTAGACAATTGCAGAAACTTCACGGGTTGAGGGTGGTTCGTTTTCAAAGTGTGGTTATCGCCTTGGCGTTGTGCACACTCATCTTAAGCATTTGCACGGGTTTCACGGGTTTCCATGGTCAGCGTACCAGGTATTGTGTTTGGGAACGGTTCTGAATTGTCAGGGCTCAACAGTTACGTTTATTCGTGGTTGTGAAGTCCCAGGAATTGTCTTCTGGCGCGATTCAGGATCGCCAAAACGCAACAGTCAGGTTGATTATTTGCGTGGTCCCGAAAACGGTGTTTGGGCACGCTTCAAGATCTTCAAACGTTTCCCTTAGTGGAAGTGAACCTTTGTAGGGGCCTGTGACGAGAGAGCTTGAAGAGAGGGTTTATTCCGACATCGTTGATGAGTCTTGAATGTGCACTGGTCCTCCTCCTCCTCCTGCTCCTGCTGCTCCTGCCCCTGCTGCTCCTTCTCCTTCTCCTCCTCCTCCTCCTCCTCCTCCTCCTCTTCCTCTTCCTCTTCCTCCTCATTCTCTTCCTACCCATCCTCCTTCTTCTCCTCTTCCTCCTCCTCCTCCTCCTCCTCCTCCTCCTCCTCCTCCTCCTCCTCCTCCTCGGTCGGCTACGCGTGCGGCTGGTCGCCAGCGCGGAGGGCCCTGCGCGCCTTCTCCTCGGCCGCGGGGTCTTCAGACGTTTTCGCGCGCTCGTCGGCTCCTGGAGGTCTTCCTGGAGGAGGAGAAAGAGGAGGAGGAGGAGGAGGAGGAGGAGGAGGAGGAGGAGGAGGAGGAGGAGGAGGAGGAGGAGGAAGGAGAGGAGGAGGAGGAGGAGGAGGAGGAGGAGGAGGGGGAGGAGGAGGAGAGAGAAGGAGGAGAGAGAAGGAGGTCTTCCGTCTCCAGCTGCAGCTGGCGACGAGGCTCCAGGCTGCTCACAGGCAGCCTCGGCCAGCTGGCCTCGGCAGGCCAGGCCAGTAGCCCCTCCCGGCCTCGACGGGCCCCCGGGCAGTCCGGGGCGGTCTCAACCCCCCAAATCCTGGGGCGCGGAGCGCCCCAGGGGCGCGGCTGGAGGCGGCGCTGGGCTGTTGAGACCGCCCTGACCTGCTCGCGGGTCCTGCGGAGGCCAGCAGGGACCTCCTGGGGAGGCCGCCCGTGCGCAGCCTGAAGCCTTACCAGCTGCTGCGCCCCGTCACGGGCGTTCTTTTGGGGGGGGGGGGGGGCGGGGCGGGGCGTCCCAAGAACGCGCGCCAGATGCCCGAGGCATGGCCGAAGCCTCGGGGGGGTCTGGTCGCACGGGCGGCCTCCGGTGCGCGGCTTTCGGAGGTGGGTGGGGTGGGGGGTGGGGGGGGGGCGGGGCGGGGCGGGGCGGGTGGGGGGGAGAGACCCAAGCACGCAGGCCGCCCCAGTCTCGAATCGGGCGAATAGGGAGGAGGATAGGGGAAAGGGGAGGGTGCGGCATCTGCCGCACGCAGCTGGTTTCAGCCCCGCCGACAGGCTCTTTTTGTTGTTCTCTCTCTCTCTCTCTCTCTCTATATATCTCTCTGTATCTCTCTTTGTTTCGTTTATCTTTTTTGTTTTTTGTTCTCTCTCTCTCTCTCTCTCCCTCTTTCTCTTTCTCTGCGAAGCGGTCGGCAGGCCGCCGCGCGCCAGAGGTCACCTTCGCCTGGGGTCGCCCCCGCAGGCCCGCTCGTGGCAGCGGGCGTCCTCGCGGACGTAACGCCCCTCCTCCTGCCTTGGGGGACGGGGGCGGAGGAGGAGGAGGAGGAGGAGGAGGAGGAGGAGGAGGAGGAGGAGGAGAGGAGGAGGAGAAGGAGGAGGAGGAGGAGGTGTTAACATGCAAGCATGCGTGTGACAGGGGAGGAATAGTAACCCTGCTGCCTTTGGCTCAAGTGTTTAACGGTCGAAGCTACATAAACCTGCTTTGCCGTTCGGGATCATAAAGGTGACCTATCGTTATCATTGTCGCCAAGCTCCCGTGCAGAACCCTCCTCGGGGTTTTGCATGGTAGCGGAGCGCGGTTGCCATGGCAGCGGCAGCGGCAGCTGCGGCCAGACCTGGACAGGGCGACCCGCCAGTTAATCTCAATGTGCCGGCAGACAGAGATGCATGGGTCAACATGGACCCGAATCGATTCAACGATCTGTGCGAGCAAGCATACATGAACGGAGACTTCAGTTACGTTCAGACGGCGCTACTCGCGAACCACTTCGGACTCGCAACGTTCATTAACGAGCGAGTAGCACAGGATCGAAGGGAGGTATCGAACGCCGAAGCATTCCAAATGTTACAGAGTGCCCACAAGACCAACAGTATGCTGTTAGCGATCACAAAGAGAAACGCTGCACTCGAAAGGGATGCTCGTAGATTGGTGGAAAGAGTCACCGAGTTGGAGACCAACAGTGAAGTACAAGAAAAGTTGATCGAAAGGTTTGGTCAGATCTCGGAAGCAATCAAAGGAGGAAGCGGAAACAAGCACGGGAGCAGTAAACCGATAAGCGAATATAAAGCATTACAGGCGCTAAAGAACTTCAGTGGGGAAAGAGCAAAGTTCAGAGACTGGAGCGACAAATTCTTGAACGCACTAGCCCAAGTGAAGCCGAGTTACCGACCGGCACTGAAAATGCTAAACAAGAAGCTGGAGACGCTTGACGGAGTTGTACCAGAGGAGGACGATGACGACATCATACGCATAATGAACGGTCGATTAACTGCAAGTGAGTACCTGAAGGCAAGTCAAGCCAAACAAGCCGAGGACGACAACAAAGGCGAATATGAGTTTACCGAGGGAGACAAAACTCAGATGGAAGAAGACTTATGGTACATTCTGAACGAGAAACTTGAAGGTGCGGAGGCCAGAGGAAAATTAAAGGGACTGATGGATGGAGATGGAATCATGGCTTGGCAAAAGGTTTACAAATGGTACTCGGCGGTAACCGGAGCGACCTTATCATCAAAAATGACGCATGCCATGAATCCTGAACCGCCCAAGAAGATCACTGACACTGTTACCCGACTTGAGGAATGGAGCGCATTGGCAGAAAATATTGAGAAATATGGCAAAGATTACTCGCTGCCTCTTCCTTTCAAAGTCACCGCGCTCAGGGCCATAATGGTGCACGCGAATGACTGGTTTGACGAATGGCAGCAGGCATGTTGGCGAACGCCTGACGCGCTTAACATTGACTCATTTCAGAAATTGTACTCAAAGTGCGAAGACTGGGCGCGTAAAAAGAAACTTGACTCAGATACGAAAAATAAGGATGCAATGGACATTGGGAATATCAACGAGATGAGTCAAGGGACCGAAAATGTTTGGGACCAAACAGGATGGGTTGACGAAGATGGAAACTGGTGGTCAGAGGATGGATCGTGGAATCACGGGTCCTGGGCCAATGAGAGTGACGGTGGAGAATATGAAGAAATTGACGCCGTGAACAAAGGCAAGGGTAAAGGAACGGGCCCCAGGTGTTACAATTGTGGAGGCATGGGCCATTTAGCCAGGAACTGCACGAGACCTAAACAGTTCACCAAAGGAGGTAAAGGTGGCAAGGGCGGAAAAGGCAAAGGTTACCGAGCCACTTACGGATCCTATGTGAAAGGTAGGATCGGAGGCAAACAGGGAGGTAAAGGAAGTAGCTCGTGGGGAGGAAGCTACGGAAGCCAAGGGAAGTTCACCCCGCACAGCGAGCGTGAATGTTACAAGTGTGGCGGAAAAGGGCATATCGCCATTAACTGTCCGGGCTCCAAGAAGACCGCCAACGAAGTTGAGCAAGAGAAACCTGTAGTGAACGCCGAGATTGAACAAACCACCTCGTTCGGCCAACCACAGCACGTTCTCAGCGTCGAGATGGAGGAGGCAATGAACGTGCCGCTAGACCAGCCTGCAATCGAGGAGGTTAACGAGAAATGGGACCTGCCCTATTACGCAAGAAAGAAGACGGCGCGTAACAACGCGGTAAACTTGAGAAGAATCTATCAGGAACACCAGTGCAACGGGGACTGTAATCATACTAATCAGTGGGACCAGAGAATAAGTAAAAGCGTGAGGCAGGAAAAAAGTTGGCTGGCGAAGTGCAAGGCAATTGGGCTAATTGAGATGCGGGGATGTGATCCAGAGATTAACGCGGTACCACCGCCAAGTGCAACACATGAGACGATCGTGGTTACCGTGGACTCCGGCGCCTACAACACAGTGGGACCCCCCAAAGTTGGCACTCATTTCCCTATTAAGCATACGGACGCGTCAAAGCAGGGACGACACTACAGTGCAGCAAATGGAACCACGATAAAGAATTATGGCCAACGAGTGATCACAAGTAAAAATGAGCATGGGAACGCCGTCAGTATGCCGATTCAGGTAGCAGAGGTCAACAAAGTCCTAGGATCGGTCAGAGAGAT